ACAAACGCAGGGTTTGTTCCTCATTAAAGGCCACCAGGAGGAGCATGATCACCTAGATCCTGGAATAGGTTGTCATCTAGTGATGAAATGGCTGTCTGCAAACAGTGGGCACAGATCAAAGCGCCTACAGCCTGTAACCAAGAATCGATACCGTCCACCTGTTGGTCCCACAGGTTAAACATCCACTTACTTCAGAAGCTTCATGGCTGACTGGTATTCCTCATTCTCCCAAATGTTTTTTTCCAGACATATTAAATGAAGTTCTCTGATCTAAAACACACAAATAATCCTGTTACACATACATTTAAAAAAAAAAATGTTTTAAATGACACGGTTATTTCAAACTCAAAAAAGAAAAAGGTCTTGCCTGTTTCCCGAGTGGGTAACGAGGCAATGACGAGGTCAGAGTGTGGAGACATCTCAGGATGGGATAATAGTTCTTGTGATATTTGCGAAGGTCCTTTATCAACTTCTGACACACGCCCTAGAAAAAAACAAAAACCTCAAGCATTAGATTGTGTCCAGGGGTGAGCACTCATTATTGGCTAATAAGCAGCAATACAACGAATGTACCTTTAAATGAGAGTCATCCGTGAATAGATTGACTTGTTCTTGAGCTTCCTGCTTCTCTACGTACCTTCGGGAAGACACAATTTACACTTGGTTTTACATTTAAAGGTTTGTCTGAAAAGTCCACTTGGAGCACATACGTGAGTGAAAGCGTGTAATCGCGCGCACACACACACACACACACACACACCTCTTGAACGACTGCAGCTTCCGGATCCTCTCCAAGTCCAGGTGACCGAGCTGCATCACATTCAGTAGAGCGGCCTCCTTTTTACAGCACAGCACACTGAGAGGCTGAGAGTGAAAGTGCTCCAGAAGGGCCAGCTGCACCAAGACGGAGCAGAAAGTCAATTTAGTGCACGTCCAGTACGTATCTGAGTCACGTCTACACAGATGACAAACGGAGACACCAATAAGACGCATTGGATGACCTATTCATGGCCTTCTCTGTACCTGGATGCCCTTGATGAAGTTTCTCACTGAAAAGTCGTGGTAGAGGAAGATGCTGATCAGCACCTGCATCACTTTACCGTTGAGCTTAAAGGGGAACTGAGGTGTCAGGATCAACTGCAAACACAAACAAGGCAGAAAAATACAATGAACGTAGTCAGATTTTACTTAAGAGACCACACAACAGACTCAAAGAATTTGTCTGAAAAAAGCTACTGCGATGGATTGTTACATTCTGTGGTGCAGTGGATCATATCGACTGTTGTGCCAATCATCTAGATCGGAGAAGGCAAATCCATAGGAAAAAACATTTGAGCACAATATTATTTTTGTGGCAGAGGTTTAATCTGCCAGTTTAACTCCAAACATCTGTGTCGGTGTTCATAAGCTTTGCAGGCTACATCGTTCTTGTTGCTGCTTAACATTATACAACTGGTATTAATAAAATATCTATACTAAAGAAATGCAGCAAGGATGTAGATAGTGTCCTTCACTATGGAATAAAAGTGTTATCTATATATATAGTTCTAAAAATATATTTTTTTAAATCAATCAATCAAGAGAAACTGACTGGTTACTTTTTCCTGATTACAAATTGTTCAACATCCAGTAATTTACAATTATGAAACAAATGTGAACGCAGAGATGACAGAAGGCCTTCTAAATAGCTCACAACGCGTTACTTTCCGCCATATTTCCCAAATGCATTCATCCTGGACTGCATGCGCACAGTGAGAAAACTACCTTGTCAATGACTGTGGCCAGGTGCTGCGTGCAGGAGAGGGACTGGAAGAGCTCTATGCACAGCAGGGAGGACACAGAGTGGGGCAGCATGTGTTGGATGGTGCTGGGTGACGTGGCGATGCCAAAGATGAACATCAACGGAAGACGCTGGACGTACCGGCTGTGGGACGGAGATCACGTTTGTGAAGTTACAGAGAAGAATCGAAACCGTATCATCTTAACGAGATTCCTAACAAGGTGAAGGAGGAACGATTGCTCGGTTCGTATATCTACTAGTGCACAAGTATAGGAAGGTGGATACAAAAGCAGAATTATTTCTTAAGTTTGCCAAATTAATTTATAGTAATTCTTAATAAAAGGAGCTAGAATTGTAAAAGGAAACACTTAAGTTGTTCAGCTCAATGTCTCTAGTTACCTGCAGATGAGAATGAAGTCCTGAAGAACTTTGGGGTTGAAAGCTTCCAAATCTTTGAAGATAATCACAACCGGCGGAGGCTGCGAATCATCACTGGCAGGAGAACTACGCTTTTTTCCAGGAGTGCCTAAGTTGGATTTCTGTAATAACGTGCGTTTAGGCCATCAAACTCTTTTCATGCACCAAATGACAGAAGTTAACTCATCTACTCTGGTTTGGCTTAGTTGTCCCACCTTTGTTTTTGCATTGTACCAAGCGCAGAGTGTCCCGAGGGAGCAGTGCACGGCCTTGTTGAGCGGAGCCCCGGCCTGCTCAGCCTCCTCCTCCTCCTCCTCGTCATCATCATCATCCACAACCGTGTCCATCAACCTCTCCAGGACCCTCTTCATCAAATGCTTCAGCGCTGAAACGATAAAGCAACAAACATCAGGACTTGAAGGTGCACGACAGAACCAGAGTATTAAGCTGCTACCGTTTAAAATCATTTCTTCAAAAATCACAAGAGCACCGTACCTCCGCACTCTTTAGCCTGCACGGAGGCCACGTGAGGGGTGACGGACTGCTGGAGCAGGTCGGACAGGCTCTTGAAGGTCATGTCGTGGTCCGGGACATTCACACCTACGGAGGACGTCGAGGGGGGAAAAGGGCGGACTAAATGCAATGCGAGATTTTGCGATCTTAATGAAAAAAAGGGAAAAATGGAGTGAAAAAGGTTTCCATTCTATTCTTAATCGGCTGCTCGGGTAATCAAAACAGAAAGAGTCGCATGCATCTGCCTCTTAATCAACAACAAACCGAGCACAAGAGCCGCGGTGGGAATCTCGCTGGCCCTCATCTGGGACGCCCAGTCGCTGTGTCGGCGGGTGGAGGAGCACTTCCTCGTGAAGTCCAGCAAGCTGTCCAGGATGTTCCTGTTAAGCTCATCCTGTAAAGCCTGCCGGTGCAGCAGAACACAACAGATCTTTTAAAAGTCTATTTTTTTTTTACGAGACCCTGTTATGGGGCCAACAACCCTCATCATCTTGGGAGGGTTTTGCTTAAAATAAGGCGGCTTTGCCAGGTCACAGCAGGATGGACAAAGGTGTAACGGATCAAATACATTATGCTGTATTTCTATTGTCGGTCAACGTCCTTCTGGCCCACCTAAAGGGCCAGAATGAATGTTAATAGTTGGGCCCCTGCAGGGACAAGGTGGCTGCTGTGAATAACATTAAGGTCAGTGTGATGTTTATAATGTGCTCAAATGTAAAGACGAATAATAATAATAATAACGCTTTCATTTTTGAGAGAAGGACAGATTCATCTATTGCGACACACTATTAACTTCTAACCAACATGTTGGATATCCGGTCTCACCTCTGTGTTCGTCTTGATTTTGTCCCACAGATCGTGACAGAGGTGGAATCGTAATTCGCGGTTTTCATCGCCTTCACATGCATGAAGGAAATGATCCTCTGCGGAGAAAAAAAGGCAACACACAAAAAAACGTGAGTGCCACGTTAAGACACCAGAAGTCATGATATCTTTTACTTTTTACTTTTTTTTTTACAACATTAGCACAGCGCACCCAAACTGAGCGCGGTCGTCTTCTTCTTCTTCTTTGCACTTGGCTTGAAAACAAAGCACCCCTGAAATAGTGAAAGTTAAGTATGAACTCAAAACAAAGACACTAACTTAAACCGTAATACGTGTCGAGCTGGCTCCATGATGTTATTTAGTATTGCGTTACCTTAGACACAGACGAAGTAGACATCTTGGCATTAACTACGTGTCACAGCGGGTTTATTTTCAGGATAGCGTTACGGTCCTGATAAAAAGAGAAACGCGTGTTTTGTAATTCTGCTTTTGCTGTATTTAACAAACCAGCCACTACTTCCCGCCATAGTGACGTATACGGAAAGGGGTGTGTTCAGAAAATAAAGGCTCACCGACTTGTGTCCGTAGCCGAGCTCGGTGAACTTTCAAGTTTTTCGAATTGATCAAAGTAGTCACGATGGCATTGGAATAAGTAATCTAAGCTCAAAGATTTTAGCATTATGTTGGTTTACTTACGTTTTTTCCTAACCTCTGTTTTAACTGTGGTTGATTTTTGTTTTTAAACGTTGCTGCTTTTGAACACACCCCCGAGACCTTGCCAGCACCCCTCGTTCCCCTGCTGAGGCCTCTCTGCCTGCAGGTCGGCCGCTCCAAATCTGAAAAACGATGCCCCCTAACATTACTGCTAGGGTAATTATATACACAGTAGTAGTACAAGTAACAGTTTTGCGTTTTAAACATTTCATTCATCAGGTTTACAACGTGTTATTAGATTGATTACATGTAATTACTGTATTGCGGTAAAATCGGGACCTGCACCAGGCTTTAATTTTCCTTTTTTAATATTAACTTTCTTTGGTCAACGAGGCTCTATCACCCTGTCAAAATAATTCCATTGTATAAATTCCTGGTGCTTCCTATGCAGATGACAAAACCCCCCAGAAATGGAACAAAAGAGGCATTTATTTTTATGCAAATACAAATTTGCAAAGTCCAGTAAATGTGTTATTTGTGTTCGGAGTATCATTAGACAACAATATTTTTAAAATGATCTTCTTCCGGCTTTTTTGTCTAAAATTCAACAACAAACAAGCGGATTATGACATGTGGTAAATTATCCTTCTACTTTCCATATATGAAAAACTGTGCATTAAATCCAGGAAGAATATGTGTGTGTATATATATATATATATATATATATATATATATATATATATATATATATGTATATGTATATATATATATATATATATTTCTGCCACTGCAACACAAAAAGGTCTGCAGGCAATATTTTATAAAAAGAAACAGTAACATTTTATTGAACACTTTGTGGAAGACATGTAAATATTACAGATAGGTCTACTAGTGTTGAAAAGGATGAAATAAATACAAACATAATTTGAAATCCCATAGGGATATATAAAAACATTGTTTTTCTTTAAAAGTCTCCATTTAGCAAAAGAAAAAAAAGAACATCTTCAGTACTAAGCATAAATACAAACATGTTTCTAAAATCTATGCCCTATAGATTACCTGGTTATTATAACTAACATACATACTTAAAATCATCCAAGACGTTATTTCAGTAAGTACAAAATAGGCCATTTTATCATTAACTGCGACCATTAGTTTTACCAGTTGGAACTCTGATGCATTAAGAAACCATTCTGCAGCATAACCTCTCAAATCCTGAGTGAGATCGGGTTGAAAACAACACATCGCTATGATCCGCTATAAAGCCACTTTTTTATCATGACCATGGGCTTCATGTCTTGAAGCTGTTTTAGCAAAAGATCAGCACCTTCTGAAAATGTTTTATCGACCACAATCTTGACATTGCTCACTGATTTGAGATTGAGGGGATTTCTGAAGTCTACTAGGTTTCCGCACCCTGCCGCTTTACTCTTCACCGCAGATTTCTGTTTGTGAGTTTGTTGTCTTTTGGACGGCAGTTCAGCACCAGATTTGTCACTTAGTTTGCGTTTGGAAGAATGGGTTGACTCTGAGGTTTCCAAGAACTTAAGGAAAGAGTCCTCGAGACCCAAAGGCTTGAAAGACCCCGATGTGACCCCCTCGTCACGTTGCTCTTGGGCCGTAGGGGTACCAGGATTTGAGTTCTCTCTTGAACTGTTAACAGTCGAACGGGTCCTAAGGGTCTGCATCCTCTCAGGACAAGCGGGTGTGGGATGAGGAGGCTTCCTGGGGCGCCCTCGTTTCGTCCCTCCTTCGGCCCCGGGGGAAGGTTGCGATTCTGCGCTCTCGTCGTTGGACAGCTTGCCGTCGTCGTGGCCCGTTCGATCCCCCTGCTCATCCGATGTCTGGTCAGCGGGCTGCTCGCCGTCGTCCGGCTCCGTCTCCTCGGAAGAAGAGCTTAATGCGCCCTCGGATTTGCTCGAGTCTTTGAATCTGGAGCGCGAGTACTTTTTGCAGAAAATGAACTGGCTCCGGTGGTCCTCAATGTAGCGTTCCGTGAGACCGTGAGTTGTGTAATGCTTGAATATACTTCTCTCAGCCCGCTCCACTGCGTCGCAGCCTATTATCATGCACGGGTACTGCAGTGCAGACTTCTTGGTGCACATGGCTGAGGCCTCATCGTGGGATTTTAGCGTCGGCTTTCCAAAACTAGTCCAGTGTTCGATGGACTTCCCGTCTTTCTTTTTAGTGTTTTTCTTCTTTACTTTGAATTTGCTTTCCACGTTCTCTTTGCCGTTAGCCCCCGGGAATAGGCCCATCGATTTCGTCCGTCTCCCGTCACTTGCTTTGGGATCATAAACGTATTCGTGCTTTTTAATCAGGTGACGCAGGAGGTTCGACTTGGTAGTGTAGACGCGGTCGCATTCCTCGTACTCGCACCGGAACGTTTGGTCGACTGAGCCGCTCTCGGAGATGGCGATCTCCTTGTGGTAGTTCTTAATGTGCTCAATGTACTTCTCCACGGAGTTGAAGGGAAGGGCGCACTCCGGCCGGTCACAGTTGAAAGTCCCGATGGTCATGCTGGCCATCATGGCGGTGGCTTTGTCACGACTGAACTTGTGCAGCAGGAGGTAATGCTGCACTAACCTCGTGATTCCCATGAACACCCTCGAACAGTTCTTCACTTGACACCTGACTTCGTCTTCTGTGTCCAGACTTTGAGGGCTCTCCCGTCCGTTTTCCATACCGGACTTTTCGCCGTCTTCTTCGGGATTGCCCGACCCAGACGTGGGCAGGGATGACTGATGCATGGCCCTGTAATGCAGAATCAGATTTTGCTGGATGGTGAATGCAGCCGTGCATCCTTTCGTGAACACAGCGGTACGGTCTATACGGACTGTAGGCGTTGTCGGTTTCGCACATTTTCAGGCTCAACCTATTCTGCGCCTTTTCTTTCCTCTGCGGTTCGTTTTTGGAGCTGCCGGGTTTCTCTGGGGAGGAGGAAGACGATGCAGAAGAGGGGCTGCACATTGGCTCATTGACTCTGCTAAAGGAAGCGTCCGATTGTCCGTGCTGCTTCTTTGTTTTGCCAACCGGACTGAGTTTCTCTTGTACGCTGGATTTCTGCTTCACATTTGGACTCGTTGTGTTTAAATCAGCACCTTCAGGTTGCTCTGGGGCTTTTTTGTGAACTGACGGTTCCACCTCACAGAACAAAGGCTCAGTCACATAGTTTTCAGGTGGTGGTAGGTGTGCAACAATTGATACATCGGGCATGGAGCCATCTTTAACTCCGTGTCCGGGTGAAGTGACTTGAGGAACTTGTGGATTGTTCTCATTGTCCGCTTGAGGTGCGATTGCAATGTCAAGTGGTTCTTGTTTGATGGCAGGTAACACTTGCTGTGCTGTGTGACTGGAGTTGGCGTCGGTGGCCACGCGGCTAATTAACACGTCGTCCTTGTTCAGTCTAAATGCACGCCTGTTTCGAGCGCTGATCTTTAGCCTCTGGATGTCTGCCTTTGACAACCGGTGGACTTTCTCGTAGTGAATTCTCAAACCTGTCGTTCTCGTGAATGTTTTGGGGCAAATCTGGCAAGGATATGGAGAGAGTTTGGATGGTGTCTTTTTCAGCTCTTCTATCATTAAAGTTGAGTAATCGTGCATTTTACTCAAGTGTTTGAATAACGCTTCCTTGGTCATGAACGAGTACTCGCAGTCATCTTGGTCACATTTAAAAGGTTTTGGGAACTTCTCAGAGGGTTTGTCTTCATTTTTACTCACTACCTTACTTTTTTCAATGTCATGTGCTTTATCACAATGACTGACATTTTGCTCCAACAACAGAGCACTCCGCATCTTCACCTGTGCAGCTTCAATCAAATCTAGCCTTTGAAAGGCATGTGAAATTTCCATCAAGTGGTCCTCCTGAGCCGACTCTCCGGCCTTCTGTTGCTGGTTTTCGGGGGAACCACATGCAGCGTTTGAAGAGTCCATTATATTTGTATTTTGGGGCTCCTGTTTCAACACCATGGGCGAAGTCAAAGTGGTGAGGCTACAAGATTCCTGTGAGAAATCCCCGTTTGGCGCGTTGAATACTGCAGCGTTAGTATCAGGGACAGTGGGGTCATTGAGAAAATCAAGAAATGACATTGGCAGGTCCGCAGTTAGGTCAATTTCATCTACAGGTCTGCACTGTGAGCGTTTGGATAGGTGACCTCCGAGAGACTTGGTGCTTGTGAACTCTCTGAAGCATCGCCTGCAGATGACTTTGCCGTCCTTAATGATGGCTGGCCATTTGGTTCTCTTGCTCAACCGGCCGCGCTTTCCTTTCTGAATGTCGGGATCAGCGGCCTTCTCATCGGTGGGGGTGGCCTCACAGTCGGCACTGGGACAGTCCTCTTCGTAAGGGAAATCTGTGTGAATGACACTGTTTGGACTTAACATACCATCCACAGAGTTATCCATATGATCATAACAAGGAGTGGACACATTCTCTGTTTTGATTATTTCTTGTGTAACTTTCAATGCGACTTGGGCCTCTGGGCTCTGAGATTTCAGGGGTATATCAACAGACGAGTCTTGAGTAAGACAAGAGTTTTCACTCTGGGCATACGGAGTGTTGTAACTTCCTTCGGGGAGGCTATCAAATGTTGAGATACTGTTTCCATTATCTAACTGGCTCGTCATACTTCCACTGCTCTGCCCTACGTCATTGCTGTCCCCACTGCCCTCTGGATGCATTAGTCCGTACTGATGCCCTCCGTTATGTATTTGCCCTCCATTGTCGAGCATCAGAGAACTGGACACATACTGAGACATCAAACTTGAAACAGAAGGACCGTGTGACATTGAGGGGCCGTGCATGGCTGCCACGGAGTGGTCTCTGTTGGAAGGGAGAGATGCCGTGGCTTGGTAAGGGTCCACCTGCCATTGAGGGTAGCCTCGCGTGGGGTACTCGTTCGAGTTGAAGGCATCGGGATAGCAGTTATTGATCACAGGTGAAGACCATGACTGTGCCATGTCTGAGTGCACTATTTCGCTGGGAGTATTTTGGTTTCCCCATGATGGGTACAGCGTGGGATTCACCATTGGAGTGATGGGCACAGGCTCCATTGATCCGGGATAACACTGGGCAGGTGAGGTTGAAGATCCTGTTGAGTAATCCATTTGCTGCATTGCAGGTTTGTTGCATAGTATTCCTGGCTGATTTGGCGGCCTGACCCCCTGGTTCTGAGGCTGAGTAGGTGAAGTGGGCCCACTTGGGGCCTTTTTTGCTGTAATTTTGGCCACTTTGTTATATTTCTTTGCCAATTTCCAATCTTCAAATATTTCAGGGTGTTGCTTTTTCACGTGCCTGGAGAGACTTTTGTTTGTGCTGTATGCCCTTGTGCAGTCATTAAATGGGCAGCAATGCAGGTTCTCCTCATTGCTAACAGTTGCAGCCGGCGAGCTGGAAGGATATCCTTGCAGTAAACAAGGAATTTCGGTTTTGATTTGACTTGGAGAAATTATTTGTGGAATCACTTTTGGGAGTTGATTGCCTGGTAAATGAATGAGCGCCTCTACCTGTTGACTCGCTCCAGGGTCTGTTGCACTCGGTACAGGATTTACTGGAGGGATCCCAGCATGCCCGGCGACCTTTTGTTGCGCATGAGGAACCTCCGGTGTGGATTTCACGTCAGAAGGTGCTGGAGTGGGGTTTGTTAGCGGAGTGTAGCATTTCTCTGGTTCTATGAGTTCAGCACCAGCCGCACAATTCAGCATGCTTTCAATCGAGTGTTTTACTCTCACAGGAATAGGTTCTATAGCAAGGTCAGGTAATTGACATGGCGGCGAGCTTGAACTCGATGCCTCCATCGTGTATACACCTGTATTAATCCCTTCAATGCACACAACTGCAGAACAGGTGTTTTCGACGCTTGGGGGAGGGGCGCTCTCGGGCGGTGGTTCCACTTTTGAAGCATCGGGAGGGTTTTGATGTGTGAACGACAAACTGTTACCTGCAGCGTTCATGCTATGATTCTCTTGGTGAGACAAGAATTGAGACTGTGAGTAGAATATTTTGCCACAGTTTTCTGTTTGGCAGGTGTAGGTAAGGTAATGCTGAGCCTCGTGATCATACAACAAGTAGGCCTCACCGAAAACTTGGCCGCAGTTTGGGAACATGCACTGGGCCTTGAATTCCGGATGGGTTTTTCTATGCATTAGAAGCTCGGAATTGGAGTTAAAGTTGGCCTTGCAATCCAACTGTATGCAGATGTATGGCTTGCTGCCACAGTGCATCTGCAAATGGTCATTAAGATGTCTGACATTTACAAATTGCCGTCTGCAATACTGGCACACCACTTTCTGTTTTTGTATTTCTAAAAACCTCATGGCCTCTTCGTCGTCCTTGTGAGATCTGACGTGAGCCATGAGGTTGCGGAAAAACTTGAAAGCCTTGGAACAATTTCTGACAGGACAGAAGCAGTCTTGACTTATATTTGTGTCAGATGTGGTTTGTTCTATCTTAACAGCAGGCGCCAATTGGTTGCCAGTGTGAGATTCGATTTTAACAGGACTAATGCTCATCTTGGCAGCAACCTTTGTCATTTTTGATGGACTTTTAGGGGACTGAGGTGGTTTGGTTACCTTCCTAGCAGCTTTCATTGCAGCTAGTCTCTCTTTGCAAGATTGCTTTACATGTGATGCTACATGTGGCTCTAAAATCTCCCTGGTTTCAAAACTGTCAGCACATATTGGACAAAGATACACTCCGTCTTTGAAGTGCTTCTGCGCATGTCGAACTATTCTGTGACCCAAGAACTCCTTGTCACACAAAACACAATACTGCATGTAGGCTCGCCAATTTCGGAACCGGGCAGACACAAAACCCTGCTCCCGGAGTTTTTTAGCTTCTCGGTTTTTTTCTCTTTCGTCCGTGATTTCATTGAGTTCGTTTGTGGTGGTGAGCAGGAAGTCCTCCAAGTCTCTGTATTCAGGAAGTTTGCCGAGTGCACTTTCCACCTCCTGTTCATCCGTGTCGTTGAGTGTGTCAATAGATGACACAATAGCTGCCTCCTCTCCCATCAGCGCCAAGCAGTTGCGTTTCAGTGTTTTCCAGTCCCAGAACTCCGGATCAAAAGGCCATTGTGTCTTGAAAGCCAGCAGTAACTCGCAACGTAACGAATTGGGCACTGGAAGACTCTCGTCCTCCTCCGGCTTCTGGTCGGGTTCATTGTACAGTGACTCCACAGCATAGTACGAGTCAACGGTGGGCTGGAGGAGAAACTCGGTCAACTGGCATGCGCGCTTAACCTCTAGGTCGGTCGGCAAGAGGCAGGAAATGGTCTTGCACATGGTGGACTTGCTATCTTTGTGGTCACTGGATGTCATTTTCAGAGCTTGTATGCACATTTCCACGCACACTGGAAGACCCACCTCTCCAACCTGTGAGGGGGGGGGGGGGGACGTTTATGACACAAAGGTTTAATTTTGAGGCTCATTTAGAAGATTTATTATCATATGTCATGATTGGTGTGAGTGATTACGTGTGATGGTTCTGTTATTGCTACAAATGTGTCGACTCTTTCGCTTACCTCGTTTTGGATTACTTTAATCAGGAACAGAATATGACAGACGCTTCTACATAGAAGAGCCATCGCTTTGCTGTGTCCCAGGAACGCATCAGATGACGACTCTAGACGCATTAGTAGCTTACTCCAAAACAGGGTGAGTTCCCTGCAAAGCATCGCAAACACAAATGTTAGTAACTATTTTAGATTACTGACATATCCTTCTTTTTTAAATGAAAAAATACGTCAATTCTGATTACAGATGACGGCAATCTAAAAGTATAGTGAGAGGTCATTCATTCACCTATTTTCCCTCAAGTATTAAGCCATTAAGGGACATGAACCTTCAAACACACAGTTTACCTCTTCAATAGGCTCAACAGTGAGGGGATCTTTGCACATATGGTTGTGACAGATTGCTTCAGGTTCGACAAAAGTCCAATGCGTTATACATTTGCTGCGTGGCCACTGTATTCCTGGGAGTAATTGTGTAAGTGCTCCAAGACTTTTAAACAAACAGGAACACTTACCAGGCACAATAAACATCTCCTTGAAGTAGCTGTCGCTTGAGGAAAGCAGAACATAAGCAGAGAGCTCCTTTCTCGTCTCCCTCTGACTCCAAGTTACAGATCATTTCAAGAGCATCTTTACAGTCTATTGATGCAATCTGTTAGGAACAAAAACACAGAAAAAAATGACACACACCGGACAACACTGGTGGGACTTTACAGTATCAGCCAGAAAAAAAAAGTTTGTATCTCGTATCACAACTTTTGAGCATTTATACACACAAACTCCTTACATATGGCCTTTTAAACAAGTGACTTTGTTGCTGTGTCCTTTTTTTTTACCTCTTCCATTAGTTGCTCCTGACTTTTTGTCATGCAGATGCAAAGCAGGTAGGTTTGCTTGAAGTTTCCTTTTCCTTCATATCCCGGGTACTCTGAGCACATTTTTGCCAGTACAGCAGCTTTATCAACACTCTCCACTTTGATTAGATGCTTTATTCTCATGTTCAAGAGTGTAGCACCTTCCAATTCAAGATACTCGTGAACTATGAAGCAGAGGGAAAGGAAAGACGGAGACCAAAGGTTGAAAACTACTCATAAGAAGAATACACATGTAATTGAGCAATTACCATTTCATTTAACTACAGCTGGCAGCCCGGTGCTTCCTCACACCCAATCAGAACTCACCTTGCTCAGTTTGAGGGATTTTATTGGCCAGGATGCTGCTCAGTGTGTTGTTGGACCAGACGCCATCCTGTTGAGCCAGAATTGATAGCAGACAGAGCTGTGTGCTCCCACTTTCTTGCAAGAGGCAGTGTGCCAACTGTAACAGAAGATAAACAAAGAGGTATTAATCTAATCATTAAACGGCAGTTGGGAGGTCTACTGTCTGTTAAGACTAAAGTTGCTCGAGCGAATGTGTCCCCATTCAAACGTTTACATTTCTCGAAAAGCAGCCGTGAATGGAACATTTCATGAAATGCTGTTTGCGTTCAGACATTCCCACAGATCAAAAATATTCAGCTCACGTGTCTCTATTACTTTTCAATGATGAGCTAAACTAAATGCATTCTAATAACATAACAAAGCAACTTGCATTGCTTATCACTGCAGAGATAAGCCTCAGGAAAAAGGTCCCTTGGAATACTGACCTTCATGGAGGACTGAAACTCCTCCCATAAGGCACCAGGGACATGCTGGGGCATTAAGAGCACCAGCTCTGCACAGCTCCTGCAAATCCAACACAGTTATTTGGTAAAGCCACATTTAGGTCACGGCTGTGCACACACTCCACAAATTAAGGGGAGACGTACAGAAATAACTATTGACAAATTGTCAGGCTGCAAAGTCAGTGTGGCATTTAGGAAATATAAAAAAAGATGACAAACATGAAACTTCTGGGGGTAAATCAACAGCTTTGAGACACTACAGTTGCATGGATCAATACAGGTGTCATTACACCCTTGTTGTTACCATATGGTAGTAATGACAGATTAGTAATAGTGAATAATAACAACCATGACATTATTATGTGTTGCCTCTGTCTTGGTGTGTGTACGGGATCTTTATGTGCAGAGTATAGTCTGTGGCTCATCCCAAATATGTCAAAGCTAGAGTTTTAGCCTACATTTCTACTCCAATTACAGCCTCCAGGACTTTGCCTTCAAAGCTACTTTGAGAGTACATTGTGGAAAAAATGGTTCCTACAGTTCCTGTAAACTATAAATTATATTTAAAAACTATTAATATCTAAATATAGTTTGAAATTTGGAATCGTGTTTTTTTCTTGTCATTGTCAAATATTGGGCGTCTTTGGTGTAGGATCTCAGTTTGTCTTTGCGTTCCCATTTGAGGATTCAGCCAAAGACAAAACTGCCCCAGTGGAACAGCAGGGCAGATGTTAGGTCTATGTATGTCACTTGCACATCCAAATCCAGTAACCAGTAAAAGTAAGACTCCTCGCCACCTCAACTTTACACTCCTGCACGAGAGACGTCCCATACATGCAACTTGTGTCATTAATGAGTAACACACATGAATCATGAAGAAGATGCTGTTAGAATAAGAAAAATACAAGATTATGGGAAAATTGTATAGTTTCAGTGACACCCATGTCATGAGTTCCTACTCACAATGCTAACTTTTCAAGTAGGAGTGGCACGTTTTCACATTCGGAGGAGAGACAGGAAGCGGCCTTAGCAAAGCTGAGGATGGCCACTGTGTAGACCTCCAGTAAAGGCAGTGGATCCTCATCCGTTTTCCAACGACCGGCATTTTCCACAAGTACCTGGTGAAAAGAAACATTTTAATTACAATGAAGACACTGATGGAGTGGTTCTTTTTATTAGTCATCCAAGTACTTCAGAGCAGGTTAAGAGAACTACCTGGATAAAGAAAATGATGTTTGTAATATCAAACTATGTATTTATATCCCTAATATATTTCTTTAACACAAACTGTTAGTGCTTCAAGCAAATCCTGCAGAGATTTCTCTTTTTCTAACTTTTCAAATGGAAGAGTTGATACTTCTATTCACACCACTATTTTATATTCATTTGAAAAAATGTCTAATTGCGCAAACAAACAATTTTAGAAAAGCTACATTTTGCCCAGGAAAAAAGAATTGCGCCCCATTTATTGACACCATTCAGTATTGTCTTACATTTAGCAAATAATCCATCTTTAAAGTGACAGAAAAGCTGGTTGGAGAAGATGTAGGCTTCTTAGTCATGACAGTATAAAAACAATCACATGCTTAATGTGAAAAGCATGACACAATTACTATATTCTAGGACTAAATACAAAGATATTGTGTCAATTTAGATAAAAAGTCAAAAGTCCACTGTTAACTTTGTGTTTTTGCATTCAGTTTCAAAAAGCCACAACTAACTTTCAGCTGAAAGAAAAACCGTGCTACCCTTACAAACTATGAAGCGCGGGGGGGAAAAAAAGTATGTTATTACATACTGATTACATAATAATCATAAAGAAAACAAAGCACCAAAGTTATGATGTGCTTGGCAAACTTTTGTATCTTTCTCCTTCTGATCCAAACTCAAATAACACCTCACCTTCATCAATGAAAACTCCCTCCATTTCTTTCCAGACACACACACACACACACATATAAAAATAGACATCCATTAATGCCTCCATCGTCCCTGCAGCCGTACTTTTACCAGACACATGTGTCCATCACGACTCAAAAAAATATTGTTGAAATACAACATTTCAGTTGTACAAATCCCTCAGTGTCGGGTGAAAACAACCCAATAAGCCAAACTAATTTGGTGCAATGAGAGCAACCCTGGCTGCAGCTAAATGGAGACCTCGCATGATATTTTTTGCGTGGCCAGGACAAATTAATGAGGAGGATGTGTAATGGAGTCAGTGACCACTGCCTCACTTTCCCTTTTTTTTTAAAGAAAAAACACTGTCCTAGTGAGCTGCGGGCGGATCGGCTGCTATAACGTTGACATCAATCCAACATCTTTTCGCTGATGCTGACTATGTGCTGGTAATAAACACCCCGCTAACGTGGTTAGCTGGATTAATTAGTGCAAAAAAAGGCCTGGGCTAGCACCTTGTGGAGGGGGGGGGGGAGCATTCATCTATCCGTACAATAAAAACAGTTCTACCAAAGTAGCCCTCTTTTTGCGGAAGCCTAAACCAGCAAAGAGATGCGGCGTTTGTAAAGTTTGAATTGTATTTTCTACGCGAATAGCAGAGGTTCGATTCGGTGCATTTCAATGCATTCGCCCTGAAAAATCTCGCTAACGTAGCTACCCGTTTTTTTTTTTGCACAGCATGACCACTGCACAGGACACGGGGACCCTGCATACCAGCTAGCAACATTCATCTGCCATTAGCTATCTGGCCTGGAAAATGCGAGTAATGCATCGCACGGCGCGCACACATCGGCGCGACTCGTCGCCGCACGGTTTTAGCGAGACTCTTTCGCGCAATAAGTTCACGTCAAAGACAAACACCCCCGAAAAGATGAGCTTAAAACCACGGAAGATTGTGTTTTATTTCATCCTCCCCCCCCCCTCCCTACATCGAAGCGCCAGAGCAGAGAAGAGGAAGGAAAAAAAAAAGAAGCTAGCCGGGCAGCTAGCCGCGCTAGCTACATTGTTGTAGCATGAAACGTAGACGCGCATCCTCGGCCAGGAAGCCAGAGGGGCTGCAGGGCTGCCCGGGATGAGCAGCGGGGAGAGAGCGGCGCTAACCTGGCAGAACTCCTGGCAGAACCGCAGCGAGGCCTCCAGCGGGGAGCGCGAGCCCTCCTTCAGCGCGGCGGTCAGACCCTGGAAGCGCTCTCGCAGCTCCTCCAGAGCTCTCCGTGTGTCATATTCCTTCTCTGTCTCCCCCTCCGCCATCTTCACAACAATCACGACCGCGTACGCACAGATGTTACGCTGCCCGGACTCGCACACGCACGCGCACGCAGAATGGGGGGAAGGGAGAGCACACAGTGTGCTCCACATACACCGTAACCCCCACCCCCCTTGCCCGACACCCACCTCCCACCTCCTCCTCTCCCCGATGTCAACAAAGCATCCGGTGGCTTTACGGTGGTCGCACTCTGCACTCGGACTGCACGTGAAATGTTTATTCTACAGCGAGTCTAAGAATTAAGACCGCTGGATTCACCCCCCCTCCCATCTCCCTCCCCCCTGACTCGAGTCTGTTACCATCCGTGCAAAGATACTGCAGGTCAGCTGTGACCTCCAAGGACAGCATCCTGCATGAGACAAAAAACCTTCCCGACGTGCAGCGCAATCTATTACATTCTCGCAAAGCGAGTTATTCAGCCCCCAATATGTCTCAGGCTCAGAGATTGAGCGGAGGTACACAGGGGTACATTATGGGGTACATTATGGGGGTACATTAGGGGGGGGGGTACATTAGGGGTCACTCTCAACCGCATCCCAGTGACTTGGTCAGGGACGCTTCAAGTATCAGCCAGTTGAAAGACTCATTGTTCATCAACCGGCCCATATTATGACCACAGCACAATGTGGGGGCACGTTGCTCAATAGGTGTTATGATTTATGTTTGTGAATTATTGAGCAGAATTAAAATGCATTTTTATAGAGTGATGCTGAAAAAAACCCTAGTTATTGTACAGTACCTACTATGATTTATTTCTTTGTATTACCTTCAAAAAATGTGGCTAAAATGATTTCCACAAAAAAGAAACTTCTCAACACACTGCCATCTACACACACTAGCAAGGAATTAAGCATATAGTTAAAAAAGGATTTGAATACTGAATTATCATTTTTTTTCTTACCACGCAACCTCCAGAAAAGGACATTTGCTCAGTTGTCATGGAATTGGTTACAAGCACTATAACTTTTGGGGGGGGATTTTCAATGACTTCTTCGTGATGTTGGCTTAATTTTCAGTTCTGTTCAGCTACACAATATATACTTTGCCTCCCACTTGGGATTGATGAATCAAATTAGTCACGGCACAATCCTGTTCCCTGTCAGACTTTTATTTGTGTTATTCCTCACGTTTAATTGCATTAGCCAACATAGTTTTCCAAAGTGACTTAGCGAGGTGCATCACCTTTTGTTGTAAGACACATTCATGAAGAAACATCAGTGTTGCCCATTTGAATTGCTTTTTAATCTACAAATAAGCACGTACACGTCTCAATGCAAATATAGGATAATTACACAACCACACAATTGCTACAAAAATATTATCTGGCAACATGTGAAGTGCCATTTAAAACGGAAATGAGCTTGTGCAAATTAAAAGAGACACAATTCATTGCTAAGCGGAGCACTGCAGAGAGGTCTTGAGTTCCCGTCTTCATATCTTATGGTAATAGCAGGTGCTGCAGTGGCACTCGGTGTGGTTTTTCACCGGTATGTTGGCTGAAAGTGTCTGAAAGAGGCACAGATGAGAAGGAAGACACAAGATAATATTAACAAAGACAATCTATGGTGTTTGTGGATGATCCAAATGCCTATCCAAACACCTTCTCCTATGTATATATGTATGTGTATACATATATATATATATATATGTGTATACATATATATATATATGTAAAATGAAAAAGTCCTACTTAAATCAAAGTCTATTATAGCGCATTAAGTATATCTTATCAGTTAAATATTAATTGTAATCACATTATCTGTCCAGTAAGTACAAAAAGGTGACCCTATCATAATTAATCAAAACTTAAAGTATGTTTCCTGTGTGGCAAATCACATGATCTTGGTGTATATCGGGAGATGGGATTATCAGAGCAAAAAAAGAAAAAACAGAGTTCAGCTACTCAAGTTCGATAAAAAAATTCTGTGTGATGATCATTTGCTGTGAATCTGTGGGGAACCACTCGTTTATTATTTAACAATATAATGTTAGCTTGTCCTTGTTCAACATTTTCCGGAGAGTTGCAGTACAAGTAATATTAGTTAGTTAGTTAGTTAGTTACACCTAAAAATCTAAATGTATGGTTCATTCCATTACTGCTGACCTAACAAATCAACGGCAATATCCCCAATACTAAAGTGAATAAACGAATCAAACAACCATAGGTCTCTCAAATAGAATATTCCCGACCGTTTCCAATGAGGTTTTTTGCCTACAGATTTGGACAATAATTTAAGTTTATAGTTTCCCACTCATTTCAACCTTACTGAACCTGGACAACGTACAGCAAAGACACAGTATGAGGCCAGTTGGCCTGACCAATCCGTTGCCTGTACCTGTACTTGTACCTCGTAGCTCGACTTTGCCACGCAGCAAGTCGCCTCCGAGGTTATGTTCTTTCGGACCGGCATTGTCACGATGGACTTGAGAGGTGTTGGGTACGCTCTGGAGAAGCAGCAGCCCATGCACTGGTAGATCGGGGAATCCTTCGAGAAAATAGTGTTCCTCTTCAGTGTGCACTCGTCACAGCCCACTGCAGAAAGACGAAGGACTATTGATCATCGGACGCTTTTTTAAAAAGGACATTTGAGATCTGATATTAAAAGCACAGTGTTTACTCTTTGTGAGATGACTAAAACCAAATGGTACTAATTTACTAAAGACTTGTCCACTACATTTCAGGGGAGTACTTAAACTGGTATTAAAATGACATCTTACTGTTTGATAGGTCACGTTTGGGGTAAGAATCAGCTATGTAGACCAGAAAAGACAACAGAAGGAGAGACAGTCCAGCTGGTTTCACAGAGCCCATCCTTGTTATAGCAGTTACCTGATGATACAGAGACAAAAGAGAAAATGTTCAATCAACCTTTTCTTTTGAAGGCATGAGTGAGTCAGAGAGAGTATTACCGTGTTGAAAGAAAGTTCCTTCCTCGTTGAGCATCGGTGCAGGACGGCTTTTTATTGAGGACTTCTGCCCTCCTCTTGGGTCGTTTTATACCGTGTCCCTCGGGCTGTGACCACTTCCTGGATTAGATGAAACCTACCAACCTTATCAACTAATCTAACTGACTCCCTCGCCACTTCTTTCTCGTAATCCCCTAAAAGGACAAAATGATAAGAACAAATCGTGGAAAGTCAAAACATACTTCCATCAACCTTTCACCCCGACTATGGATGAAGCATTTAATCCCTGGGGTTTTGTTGACTGGGGGTTGTTATTATTTGCCATGTCACAGCAAAGGGAAGGACATCAGGTTCAGTTTGATGGATGAAGACCATTTGTTGGCTGTGTGTGGCCTAAAATGGTTTTTATTATAAAGAGTGTGGAAGTGCAAAGCTGAAATATAATTTTTAAATCAATGGCTTCACGCCATCAATCAGTTGTTGGATCCATTTGTCTCTTTTGTGTTTAAAATGGTATAATTCCGATATTGTCAATATTCCAATTTCATAAATCCCTTACATTTTTAAAACATTCATGGACCCAATTTACTCATTGATAAAGCAATTGACCAATAGTCAAAATTAAGATTGTGACAATTGAGCAATTTAAAAATAGATTTTTATTGTTGTGCAAAAATAATTGAAACCTATCAAACATTCTGTGGTTCCACGTTCTCAAATGTGATAATGTGCACATTCTCTTTGTCAAATATGAACAGGTGTGTTTGGCACTTTTGGTCAAAACTTTTAGACAAAACAAGCCCTGTGTGTGGTTAGATGTTGGATTCTGATTAACATATACTAACATATTAGTGCCCTCTTACCTGATGAGTTTTAAATTGGAATCCTGGCATTCGTCTTACCTAATAACTTCAATTAAAAAAAATGTTGACAATTAATCTAACTAAACTTTCCCAATACATCACAAAAATCATTTATTTCAAGTGTAGTTCTTACATTTTTTTATGAGGGAAAAGATGCTGATGGAACTTATGAATAAATGGAAAGACATCTGATGGTTGTTAAGTCTCCATCTGTCCGCCTTCCACATCCAAAATGTCAAGGGTGAAAATGAATCTATTTGTATTTCATCTGTTTACTTAAGTATCCATGTCCTGTGTCCTTGGTTGCGCTGGTGATTAATCCGGGGCCTCAGACGTCACAATTCAATGAGCGTTTAAGTGGTGTTTTAAATCAAAGATGTTTAAAGCTGTTTTTGGCTTCTATAACATTGTATCATTGCATATTCATAGTAATAATAATAATAACTTGTCTGTAACAACTAATATCTTGTACATTTTAGCTTATTGACAACAAAAAAAATATCCTTTCAATGTCAAAGACAATAATTATACATTGGCATATTTATTACTGAAAAATAAAAATAAAATCTCAATAAAGCTATAAACATTTGTAAAATGGATCTGGATCTGACACATTTTAATCATATTTCTATAATTAAAAAGTCACACATGGCTACATGCAGAGGCTGACGTAGTTGAGCTGGGTACGTATGTTTAATATATATGAGAGATGAAATATTATGAGACAGAAGTTCTGCTTTAAAAGGCCACAGCGATCAAAAAAGGCAACCGTGTGAGATTAAAAGCACAGAGGATCAGTTTGAGGAAATGTGCAACTTCCATCTCATGGATTCTCTCCTTGCCCTTCACGGCCTCCTGATGTATGAAACTAGGAGTAGTGCCGAGTTTCTTATGTTCTGCAGAAGGCTCAGATGCTCTCTGTAGAAGGCGTATTGATCGGAGGCCTCAGGCATTGAGTAAATTGTGCAGCCTACGCGGCCCCGCTCGGTGAAGCACTAGTCAGATGTGTTCTCAGGGGCTCCGGTGCCAACGCCGCCACTGGTGCTGGAGACGGGAGACACGGAGAGGTTACTAGGTCATGTGGCAGCCGGGCTCAGTTCAAAAGCCACAGCGCTGTTGATTATATTAATACATCGGGGACAACAACTGAGGGAACTAAGAGTATTGTTTGGTGCATTCATAGTTAATTTTCATTCCGAAATATTCATTTTTTTCCTTGAAATAAAGCGCCATTTTGATTGGATGAAACTGTAATCGTTTATCTAAGTAAATACACAGCATGGGGAAAAAAACATCAAATCATTGTTGTCAAAAAGAAATAGAAAATGCTGAAAGAGATGAACAGAGGTTTTTCTAAATTGTTTGGAAGCCAGATCATGTTGTCTGGGAGAACATCTCCACATGGTGGCATGAGAGATCTATGATAGGCCCGTAGGTTGAGTTATGGCCATTTATCTCGTTCAAGAACAATAAAATAGTGGCTCTTCTGCATCAGATTGCCCCACGTGTTGACAGAGAGAAGGCAGGGACGGACCAACTCAACCAACAGTACATGTTTTTCATTGCATGCTTTAAGATGGTCATATTAATGGTATAATAAACTAGTAAACAATGCACAAAAACCTACACATACATATATGTATTACATATAATGGCCTATAGGTTAAAGAGGCAATATAAATCAAGAGCTGTGAAGTGTTGTCTTGTAATATGCCAAAGGTTACGAACTGAAACCTAATTATTTTCACCTAAATGATATCCCAGAGCACTTTAATTATACCTGAGAATTTACAGACGTCAGACTTCAGACGTCAGACTTACAGAAGTCTCAGCACCTGCTGCGTATTATTTTAAAGCCAAAGTCAAAAGGTTCTGTGTTTTTTCAGTTCTGTAAAATCTGTCATGGATTTGTTTGTTCTGTGGGGCGTCTCACGTGAGCAATGGACTGATTGTAGCCCCATAAAAATTACAGTTGTAGAGTTTCCTTTGTTGCGTAACAGCCGGCAGATAAGATAAATAAGACAAAGCTTATTGGGTTTCACAAAGAGTTGATTAACAATTTACCTCAATAAGTATTGGTGTAACTTATAATACACACGATATTTCAAATGAAGGATTTATTAATATTGATCTTTGTTATGCTTCGCCCTCGCTTAACCCCTTGCTCTTGTTTTATCAGTCCAATCTTGTGTCATCAAAATGTTTGTTTAAGTCACATAACTCTGTGTAACATTGTTACTGATTTGGAATATTCCCCAGGAAATCATTCTGTCGCTCTATTCCTGTTATTCCTCAAAACATTGCATGCTGTTACTGCAGCGGTTATTGGAGTTCCTGCTGTTTTTTTTTTTCTCCAAAAAATTAAATCCATAATTCTCACTAGCTGTGATGAAAATGGCAGATGAGAATGGCCAAATCCCCTGACACAAGTTCTCCCGTGGGACTAATCATGATCATCTTATTTTAACACAACAGCTTTGCAGCACAACCTTTCGTTCCCATCATGAGGTTGGAGCGAATATTTGACCAAACCGATATGAATTGCTTTGTAGTTTGGTGCCACTGAACTCTGACCCGTCCTTTTGTTCCTGGAGTGGAGGAGCATTTGAACCGAGGGTGACACAGTGTGGCAGAGAGCGGGATCTCCCTGAAATACTCTCAGAACTGAAGCCCAATAGCTGTTCTGTCAATGTCACACGTCTTGTTTTGGAGTGAAATATACTAAGACCGGCATTGGATTAAATGTGTAAAATGTGTTTTTTATTAGTGTTGTAGAAGCGGTGGCAGAGTAGTATTAGGCTAATTTATTTCATTGTTACGCTTCTTCTTCTACGCTCGTTAGCGGTCGTTTGTAGTTGTCGCGGCTGCGTTGAATGACCTGCTGCTGCTCCTCCGTAAAATGCATACAAGGCGAGCCCGTGCAGGGCCGGCACGGAAACCCCTTCGACGAGACAAAACTCGAGGCGTGAACGTGGCAGCCATTTTACATCATCAAGAGTGAATGACTGAAGCCGGATCAGTGCCGGGAGTTTTACACTTTTTCTGTCTTTTAAATATCACATTTATCTTCCTAAATAATCAACACCATACACGTTGGTGATCCAGCGGCAGGTAGGGCGAATGCTACTGTTTGATCGCGTTATTGTTGCTTAATTTACTGCCTTAAGAGTCTCAATCGTGCGGTGCTGTTTCAAACAATGTGGAAACTGGTGTAGCCTGGGAACGACTTCTCCACACCGGCTTTTTGAAAATGGACTCTTCCTATATGGCGGCACGTTGACAAAACCACGCATCTAGCAGGCTCAATCGCTAGGCCGCCGCGTTAATTCTTACTACTTTCAAAAGCTATTTCCTCGTCAAATGCATAAATCCTTATCGGCAAGTGCCGTTGTAACAATGGCCTCAGTGAAATTGCCTTCGAATTAGCGTGCTAGCTGAAACTAGCCTATTTTGACAGATCGTTGAATTGACATGCTCATTGTCATCGTGTGCTAACATAAGCTAGCTTCTAAAAGCCTGCTATCTTAGCAAGCAAATGCTTTCCCGCTTCGCTATGGTCCCAGCTGACGCCCCGTTTGGTTACTGTTTTACGACGTTTAACGCAGATTCATTGATCAATCAGGTTTACTAGCGCGCCTTGTTATTGTCCCGGCGACGGTTCTGAAGTGAACTCGATGGCTGCAACATTAGCTATTCAAACTAGCCCACTAGCTAGCGCTGAAGCTAACTAGCCTAGCATAGCCAGCTGAGCTAGCCTCAACGTGTGCGAGCCAGACACTCCCCGAGAACTTTACATCTGAGGTTACCGTACACGTCTTTTGAGAATAACATATTCCCAGTGTATTTTTGCGTTTCAAATCGACTCGAACCGATCTGCACGAAACGTTCACGTTGTTACTTTTGACGTTAGCGAAATATCTTAATCACAGAGAAAGCACGTGCTTAACAATATGGAATTGATTTTAAGACACTGCAATATACCTGTTATATCGCGACCCATAGACTACGTTAAGTGAATGTGAGGCCGAAGCAGAAGATTGCTGTCCACGTTTTTCCCGGTCCAGCAGAGGCGGATATAGCAATGTGACCAGAGAGCAGTTGGTGTTTGCAACGGTCCGTGTCTCGCATCTGTTGATAAAAACTACACAAAATTGTTGGATTTATAATCGACCCGACAAAAGCATTTAAGTAGATGTCACAATTTGTGCTGCCAAAGTGTTCAATATAAATGCTAAAGGGTGCATATTTGCTCTTCGGTCAGCTACCGGAAAGTGGGTCTCACTCTG